AAGTTGTACATCGAAATGTCACAAACCTGTGGATATTCCATTATGCTGCAACTCGCGACAGGTGTAATATTCTTTGAATGTAATCCACAAACCAATTTGTCGCAGAGAAGCTCCTGATTAATTGACTTGATATAGTTCACTACTAAATAAATAAGGTTCAGATTTTCAGATAATGCAGAACTTATTAAATTCACTTTTCTTTACCATGGTACTGCTTTACAAATTCAGCAACTGGATTTCTCAACAAGTCTTCTCAATTATTAAATCCTCCCGATCTGGTAAAATCTATCACCTTCGTTAATAATGGTCAGCCATCGGAATATTCATACGTCTCCAAGACTCTCTCTTCGGTCCTAACTTTTTCTCTAATGTTAGCGATTTCCCTAAGAACATTATCATTAGTATGAAATTTCCTACAGAATGTAGTGCTGGAGAATGAGAAGAAAGGACTAAGCATAAACTAAAAGAAAACGATGCATGGTGATCAGTAAGAGAACGAGCCCGAAATGCGATTTGAAGGTCGTGAACACTAGAATCAAGCAGGCGCGAAAGTTTAAATATCTGGGAAGCGTCTTGACAGAGGACGGTAAGTGCGGCACTGAGATCCGTAGACGTATTGGCCAAGGACACATTCCAAAAGCTGGGCTAAGTATTGCGAGAGAGGGGGATTTCTTCGGTAACAAAGAATAGAATACTGAGCTGTTATGTGACATCTGTACTTCTTTATGGCAGCGAATGTTGGACGATTTCCACAAAGATGAAAACGAGACTTGAGGCGACGGAGATGTGGTTCTACAGAAGGATGCAAAGGACATCATGGGCTGAGCGTATTTGCAACGATTATGTCTTAGACAGGATGCAAACAAGGAGGAGACTTATATTTAACATCAGGAAGAGGCAACTGAAGTTTCTGAGACACATAATGAGGAAGGATGGCCTAGAGAATCTGATACTCACGGGTCGAACAGAGAGAAAGAGAAACAAGGGAAAACAATGCATAACATACCTGGCGAACTTAAGCAAGTGAATGGCAGGAAGGAGAGGAAAAGAACTTGTTGAGAGCTGCAGAGGATAGAGGGAGGTGGAGAGCAACGATCGCCTACGTCCTGAATGATATGGCACATAAAAAGAAAAGAAGGTAGACATATATACAGATGATACCTAGTTAATGGATGTTCCTTCAAATATTTAGCTGACCAGAGACTAGAAAATGCTTTCTCTTCGGGCCCTGCTCTTAAGAACGTTAATCGTGGCTATCCTAATTTAAACAATTTAAATTTTCTCATTTGGTTCAGAGGTTAAGTTTTTAAATATTCTCCCTCTTCACTACATTTTAGTCCTGGAGACTCTTTGAGAAATATATGGGCATGCTTTCAACGACATTAGACGTTGCTACCCTAGATTCCATAACAATAATATCGTATACTGCTTTTAATCACATCTTTGTCGTTTAAAATCCCGAGAACAGGTGTTTCTGTGTGATTAGTCCGTATCTCTCTAATATTCTTTCTTCATAGATTTATCAGATAACGGGTACCTGATAATTGAGAAGACTCTTCCAGAAATCCAAGCGAGGAAATTGCGAGCCACATGTTAAACGGGTTTTGTGTCTGGGGTTTACCATTCAAAAATTTGACCGGGCTCAAAATTTATTACATTCGGTGATCAAGCGAGAAAATGTGTTTCAGTATGATTTGAACGCGTCCCTCTAATATGCGTATTCGAATAAAAATATATATACTATCAGAGGTTAAAGAAAAAAAAACTGGAAAACTTAGGTCTAATAATCACAATAACAATATTTAGCTTAGGAAAATGTTCAGTCTGAATAAGAAAAAATCTTCTATCTAATCTGAAATCCTTAAAGGTCCCGATGAAAACAAATTAATTTTGATTTTACGAACGTTAAAAGACTTATTCCGCTTCTGTCAGGAGACGATCATCACAGAGACGGCACGCCCCGTGTTGATAACATCGTCTAAGCCTGTAGACAGTACTATCTCTACTATCCGCGATTTTAGTAGCTTAAAGATTGACGTGGCACGAATTAGATTCATACGTATGTCCACAAGAGTCAGATATAAAAAAAAAATAGGCACTTCTTGTATTAGTTGCCTTGGGATTTCGCAACAATCCTATATGCATACGTCAGTCAATTATGATTCGGTTTCTCAGATAAGATCCTTCAACCTTACTGCACTTTCACCTCTGCAACTATTTTTGGTATCCTGAAGAGATCTTGAACGTTTCCGCTTGCTTTAATATAGACACTGACTGACAAGGTCATGAAAATTCATGACTGATGTCGACAACACAGAAACACAAGGCCGCATGAGCACACACAAACACACACACACACACACACACACTCGTATATATATATATATATATATATATATATATATATATATAAATAAAAAATATATATATATATATATATATATATGAGAAAATATCGTATACTGCTTATAACAATATCTTTGTCGTTTAAAGTTTCGAAAGTTCCTAATTACACAGTTTCGACTCCGAAATACAAACAGATAAATTACTGAAGAAATAATATATTTTTATTTATTAATCCAATATATTTTTATCACTTTAAAATTTATTGTTAGACCAAAGATGCGCAGTTTAGACTCCTGCTATAGGGCGCATTTTTTTTTTTTCTTTTTTTTATGGCGCAAATATTCTGGCCGTTGAACGAAATTAAACACATTTAAAATTAATTTTAAAATAAATATAGTATCTATTCAAATATGGGTACCAACGTTTTTTATCTATCTATCTCTCTCTCTCTCTCTCTCTCTCTCTCTCTCTCTATATATATATATATATATATATATATATATATATATATATATATATATATATATTGTGTGTGTATAATGAGCATACATATGGTGTGTTTGTATATATACATATAGAAATAAAAATTGTATTACTTCTTTAGAAAAATATATATATACATATATATGTACATATATATATATAGATACTTATATACATATACGTATATATATATATATATATATATATATATATATATATATATATATATGAATACATATGTGTGTATGTGTGTATAAATGTAATTGGTTGTCATAACAACGTCAGCCCAGCGAAGGATATCTTTAAAATGTACCCATGACACAAATTCGAAAAAATTGGTAGGTGTATAGCAGATATTAATAAAAAATATGTTAGCTTTATTAATGGTGAATATGAAGCGTTAAAAAACATAATTTGACAATACCACCCGAAGAAACCTTATGGCTTAAGCCCTGGTCGTGTAACCAGTAAATACTCCTATTTCTTTATGTTGAGTTTAGATAAATTCTTTTTGGTTGTGGTTGTGATAGAGTTAGTGGGTAGAATAATATATTTTCTGATTCGTTAGTTTTGTCAGGAAGGGCAACTTTTGTATTTTGGAATATTTTATGTGCATTTTTTTCGCATTGGGAATGAAATAGGATATTGAAGGTTCTTGAATGTATTTTCCGTATATCTCTCCTATACTTTACCTCTTGTAAATATTGAGTGCTGCATATTCGAAGTGCTCTTAACTAGAATTTTTTTTAAAATACTGTTTGTACATATATAAAATCATACAAATTTATATATCATCATATCATATATATATATATATATATATATATATATATATATATATATATATATATATATATATGAAAACGTGAACAACCAGTCTAGGAGAAGGAAACTATGAATTAAAATCAGATTGCACCAACTTAAATGTCTGTATACATGTGGCTGGGGGCTGCTTCTGAATAAAAATTCCTACTCCTCTTGGACAGCTTTCGTTCCGATGTGGCGTGTTTTTGTGACGGGGCCGGATCAATCGACCTGGTCTATGCCCTAATAGGTATAGGTACTATCTATCTATCTATCTATCTATCTATCTATCTATCTATCTATCTATCTATCTCATTCTCTTCATAGCTGTCTATATATCTAAATATCTATATGTCTATATATCTATGCCTGTGCATATCTATCTATCTATCTATCTATCTATGTACGTCTGTGCATATCTATCTATCTATCTATCTATATATATATATATATATATATATATATATGGGAAGTAAGGTGAAAAGGATAGAAAAAGAGTAAAGATTGACCAGCCTGTTTCCACTGTAAGGAAGGCAATGTTATTATATTACTGCAGAATGTTGGAATATATATATCTATCTATATATATATATATATATATATATATATATATATATGTGTGTGTGTGTGTGTGTGTGTGTGTGTGTGTGTGTGTGTGTGTGTGTGTGTGTGTGTGTGCACTTTCCTTCCTAAAATGATGCAATCATTTATTCGTCCCTGTTTTTCACACACTTAAACCTCATATATTCTCGGCACGCACTCCTTGGCAAATCAATTCTGTCTTTTACAAGCAGTTATCCCCTTAGATATGCAATTGTGTGAGTGGAAACAGGCTGTCCAAAGACGAACATTGTCACAGTCTCATTGCCCACCCGACCATTGATCATATCAAGCGTAGGGAGTGATAGACAGGTCAAAAGTGGCCAATAATTGCCATAGTACTTTCGCTGATAACATGATTTGTATTTCGACAACATTTGCCAGTCCCCAAGTATCGCAATGTGATGAATGACTGAGAGGTCGTATACAATCCGCTTTTAATAAAAGATAAAATACTTCGCATAATACGCCGAGCTGAAAACATAGCAGCCACGGCGAAGGAATTATTTATCACAGCACGTTTGGTTTTTTTTTCCCATAACTGATTTATAATTTAGACAATAAAAGTGTGAAATTTAAATAAATTGTGAAAAAGGACTTTTTCAAATGGAAGTTAGGGACCAATCTCTAAATTTCTAAATTGCAAATATTTTACAATCGAAAAATTCTGTCTTCTAAAAATCAGCCAAAATATATTTTCTATTGTAATAGTCAAAGTAACTGGACTTTATTAACGAACTTCATAATACGATATTCAAAAAAGATCTTACGGCCACATTACGTTTAAACACCAGTTCCTGTATGATCACCGAAGTTAAGCAATATCGAGCTTGCTCAGTACATACATGGGTGACTGCTTGGGGATAGCAGGTGTTGGAGGCTTGGATGTGCAAGTAGTGTAATCGATAATGGTTCCGGACTTAATAACCTGTTATGGTGACCTATCTACAGTAGAATTAACTCTTCCTCCTTCATATATGATAACCTTCGTGACTTCCTAGGCTGGCAGTCGACCCGCAGTCTCTGACTGTGTGTGACTTCTATCGAACTCTCTGCCAAAGCTGAGAGAAACTCGGACAAAGCTGTGCCGAAGGGCAAAGTTTCGTCCGGGGAGGTAGACCGATCCCGAACCCGCTTATGCGGGTTCTAAGGGAATATTTTTGGCCGAGCCTACGGGTTCGGAGAAACCCAAGTTAAACTTGTGCCACATACATTCCTCGTTAGGGGGGAATGTTAAATATTGGCAGTCCGGACGCAGTGTAATCTGATAGTTCGGACAGACACGTCTATCTGCTGACTAATAACACTCTTATTTTGTATATATATTCTGTTATTTCAATAAACTTGTTCAACCTACTTTCTTCTTTCTGTGTCTTTCTTTCTGGCCCTTTACACGCCACAATATAATCAGAAAGCCGCGTTCAAATTGCTGTGGGTTCGTTATATACACTTAGCTACAAATACCTTTCGGTAAATTCTAAGATTTGTATTACTAAATTATCTAAGTAAGAGTTCTATTACGAAATCATTATTATTTTAAAGATTAATATTCTTGCAATCTAAAAATATTTTCTGACTTTTAATAACCCGCAGAGTGTTGATTGTTAAGCCATAGAAAACGAAACATTTTTTTAATATCCAAAATTAATCCCAAGTTTATAAAAAGATGTCATGCAACATCGACCTGCAGACTCAAGACAAGTTCTTAAAGTGTCAAGTCGAGAATGGTTGTTATGCATAACGCCAAACCCGTTCAGAAATATCAAAACTGTCAGCTATATACAGCCGCTTCCTACGATCAATAGTGGAAAAGTCTTTAAGCGAGTAAAACCTGAGGGTCTTGCAAATATAATCGTTCTTTGGACATTGTGAACTGATTCTACAATGGTCACAAACAAAGAACTGTCCTAAATAACAGAAACTACATCACTTGAGGAATACCAACAGGTGCGACAACTAAAATGGATAGCATATTGTTAGACCGGAACTTACCTATTTCTATTGTAAATAGACTCTCCCACAGATAATAATAAGTAGTAGTAGTAGCAGTCGCCAGTGAAGCTCAGCGAGTTGGTCCGAGTTCAGTCTGAAGTCGGACGACCGGCTGAACGGTTGAACTCTCTGCCTTCGGCCGGGGAGGAACCCGAACGAGGCTACGCCGAAGGGCTGAGTCTCTTTCGGGGAGGTAAACCGACCCTGAACCCGTTTATACGGGTTCAATGGGCATATTTTTGGCCGAGCCCACGGGCTCGGAGATCCCGCGTTAAACCGGCCTTGTGCCACATGATGCTCTCGTGGGTTGGGGGGGTGACTAAATACGCTGTGAGTTGTGTGAGTCAGTCGATGTCGGACATTAAAGGATGAGCCCCACAACTAGATTGCTGCGTCATTAACTATTATTCCTAACGTTTTGTACGTCGAACCTAATTTAGGACCGACAGTGAAATACAAGCCTCTACTGTGAAAATTACTCTACAACACATATGTAAGTCGAAAGGAAAATAATGACATAATCAAATGGTTAACATTCTACACAATTTCAAATAAAAGGTGAGGAAGGAAACTTAAGTCAGTACTAGAAAGAGCATTAACAGCTAATGGACCTGAGAAACATATTTTTACTAATAAATGTGTCTTAAAAGAAAGATTACATAAATTTCAACCGAAAACAGAACTCGCTGCTCGGCCAATGAATACCACATATTTCCTTGTAGGGAAACGGCTAATATTGACTATTTGCGACTGACAGGACTTTTATCTTCGGACAGAGGGTGACTCATGTTTTGTCTATGGATAGAGACACGGCTGAGTAAAACAGACAAGCAAGGTTGCAAGGAATGGTTAAATTTTTGACCAGCGGACCGAGTGTACGCACTGGGGTTCCCCATGTTAAACCTGACCTTATGTCGCATCCCGTCTAAGTGGGAAGGCCTGGCTAAATACGATGCCGTTTCGAGTCAGGCAGTTTGCTGGCTGGCTTGGGACTAACAAGACATCTGTCTTCTGGCAGAGGATGACTCATTCGGGGCTTCGTCTACAAACGGAGACTCGGTTGAGAAAAACAGACAGGCATTGTACCCGATTCCGCGAATGCGGGGCTGTGTAAATTTTAACCAATGATCCGAGCGTAAAGCCCAGGTTTCCACATCGAAATCTGTATCTTGTGTCAGTTGTCATCTCGCTTGGGGGGAATGGGTAAATACCTAGCCGTTTCGAGTCAGGCATTTCAGTGTCTGGCTTACAACTGATAAAACCTTTGCCTTCCGGCAGAGGGTGAGGTGATTCAGTCGAGGATCTGTCTACGTACGAAAACACGGCTGAGAAAAACACATTTACAGAACAGAATTTACCCGATCCGGTGAATGTGTTGACTGGGTAAATTTTGGCGAATGGCCCGAGTGGAAACCCTCTAGTTTCCCACAAATATCTCGACCTTGTGTCCCATCTTACTTATTATAAAACGCAGATTGTGTGTGTGCGTGTGTGTCTTTAACGTTTATATATTGGATCGGATTTCGTACATTTTTCAACCAATTTCAACAAAACTTCACTTTTTTTTTTGGCATGTAGTGTTTCTTATTGTCTTGCTTATTGTCTCAATCGGGAGACTCATAACGATTGAAAACAATGTTTTTGTTTGAGTTTGTGTTTGACCAATTCGTAAAAAAAAAAAAAAATTAATTAAGACATGCGTGTCCGTCAACCTTAAACAATAATCTTTGTCAATTTTATTTTTCAGTCTTTATGATGGTGGATACTTGATCTATCTCTTACTGTTATATCCCCGGGCAAAGCCGGGCTCTACTGCTAGTCTCAACTAAATGGGGTGATAGCTTAATACCTAGCCAGTTGAAGTCAAGCAGTTCGTTGTCTGGCTTGCGACTGACATGAACTCTGTCTTTGGGCGGAAGGTAACTCAGTCGGAGCTGTGTCTACGGATGGAGACACAGCTGAGTAGAACATCCAAGAAAATTGCCCGTTCCCTGCGGCTGAAGTGAATAGATAAATTTTGAACCATCGACTTGAGTGCCCGTCCCCTGCAGTTGTGCGAAATGGGTAAATTTTGGTCCAGTTTCCCGAGTGTTTGTGGTCGATTTCCCCACGTTGCATCTCATCTAAATGAGGACGCCTGGGCAAATGTCTAGCCGTTTGCTGTCAGTTTTCAGACGAATTAATAAGGTGTCACGGCAAATAACCGAAGGATCCCGTATAGTGAATCTTTATACGAAGAAAGTTATATAAGTAAGAGTGTGTTATAACAACAGACATTGACTAGTGGCGTTATAATAATCACTGATGTTAAGCAACATCGAGCCTCGTCAGTACCTCTATGGTTAACCGTTTGGCAATACAATGTGCCGTCATTTTGTATGTGCGTGGTTGGTAATGGATAACGGCTCGGAATTGGAAATAGGCTCCCCGATTTACAATAGCAGTCGCGTTATTTATATTCACTTACGCGCAAATAACCTAATTTATGAATGTATCTCTTCTTTTCCAACTATTATTATTATTTTTAAACATTTCACCTCAAGCTAGGTGGGGGAGCCACTAGTATACAGGGAATTACAGAGAGTGAAAGTAAGAGAAAAGATTGAATATAGAGGAAAGGATAAAAAGAAGAACGGGAGATCAAGGCATCACAAGATAACGATTGACGTTGTGTTTAATTTTTTGAAGATTGTAGTTATCAGGGAAACAAGTAAGAGGGAGGGAGTTCCACTGTCGGGAAGTGCGAAAGACGAAGCCGTTGGAGTAGAAGTGGTTGATACATTTAACTGTTTCAACAGTACAAGTACCTACATATCAAGCCAATAGTAGGCTTAAATTCATTTAGTCGGAGGGAAAAGGGAAAATACCTCGTCAAAACAGTTGCTATGAAAATATTTTAGAAAAGACAGAGAGAAGACACATCACGTCTGTGAGAAAGTGACTGAAGTCGATATGTCAAGTCAGGACCGATTTCATTGCAGATTCTACTTTGGATTTTGTCGAGGACCTTGAGAGGAACAGCAGGTTCACCAAACCCTACATGACAACAGTATTCAATTATTTAAAATACCATATATATATATATATATATATATATATATATATATATATATATATATATATATATATATATATCATCTGGCTTTAAATAACCCGAAAAAATGTGGATAAGCCGTAAAGCAGAAATCACTGAAATCAAATGAATTTCTTTTATGATGGGTTCAGGATATGTGACATCACTGCTTTACAGAACTGAACTCGATCTTTTCTTTATATCCGACTCGGAGTATATTAATTGGATCGAAACAATTTACAATTAAAATCAACTTAAATTGGTGAAAGGATAAGGTAAGTTAAGGAGAATTTTACGCATTTCATCTGAAGCCAGTCATTATCAATCAGACCTATAGTGAGTTCGATCCTCACTGGGTGGTTAATAGTTTCAGCCGTGTGCCTCATCTAATCTACATTTTGAAAATCATTTCTACCACCTAGAGGTGGTGTAATGATTATCAAACTTGCCTCACTAGAACAATTACGACTGAGTTGTCAGTCTGATCCTCACAGGATGCTCCATACTTTCGGCCTTGTGTCGCATCTGTGCTACGCTTCGAAAATCACGGGTAGTCTCAACGTGATGTATTGGTTAGCAAGCTTGACTCGCTAGAACTATTACAACTGAGTAGTAAGTTAGTTTCTCACTTGGTGCCTCATACATTCGGTCTTGTGCCACATCGAAGCTACGCTTAGAAAATCACCATTAACAACCAAATCCAACCAACCATATCTACCACAGTGATTTAAAGCGCCAAACCAAAATGACGCTAGAAACTTAATAAAAAGAACTTCAGTTTTAGCGATATGTTCCTTGGTTAGCCTGTTAATGA